TTAATGAAAATCAATTTAGTTTTAAAGCAATTGAAAATAAAATAAAAATCTGCAAAGGGCAATTATTGAATATCATAATGCACTAGGCATAACTAAACGTATTGATGTAAAATTAGCACTATTTTATGAAATATATTAAAAATAGGTAAATGAAAAGCACAGCATTAATACATTTCCTTTGTAATTAGTTACAAATTTACAAAATTAATAGCAATTAAATAAGTTGGTACAGAACTAAGCTCAATTGCTTGATTTATATACCCCTAAAAACGCTAGCAGTGTCAACATAACAATAAATATTATTAAAGCCGCTTAAAATTGCACTGCACCATGACAATATAAAAAAGATAAACAAATTAGATGAATTACAATTTACCTAGCTTTCTACCTCCACAGAAAGGTTTCACAATTATAATAGAATATCATTTTCTTGCAACGATTGCCACAAACAAGTTATTCGTAATTGAAAATAAATGCAATTCACTTTTCCCTTTTATTCAATTAGGTATTAGCAGTTCTAGGTTGGTCCTAGGTTCTACTTCTATCTTATTTGACACATTCAAAAACTAACCCATTATTAAACGTCATTGAGAATTTTTTTTTTCCTTTGGTTACGGACTTTAACAACTGTTTTTTTGCCAGTGTAAAATAATGAGAAATTATTATTTAAATTCTAAACTGGTTTACATTCTTATGGTAATGCGCTATATTGACGAACCTTATGAGAGCTTTGCAGATAGTATACCTATGATCTCTATTATACAAGTACGCTGAAATAACTATACACCGTGACAAAATGAGGCGACTTGATTTTCGCCATATTGGCGCTGTAGCAGAAGTGAGTGTCCACGGAACTAATAACAGAGACGACCTACCATTCTATTTTTATGTATCACAATCATAGATAAATATATATGTAGCAAGCTAATCACAATTCACAACACAAGCTTTATACCTCATATAAAACAAAAGTTAGTCTATCTACGTTTTTCTTCGTAACTAAAGAACGGGTTTTGTTTCGGGTTTCACCATTGGATATGTACTATGGAACTATGGAACTATGGTTCATTCGAGAGGTTTAAAAATGTAACTACAAAATATAAAAATATAAAATATTGCAAAGCATTTATTGTTAACCATTCATTTAGTCCTCGTAGGAGAAAATCAATAAGCTGCTAAAATATTATGCCTATTTCAACAATATCTATAAACTCTACAATTAGAATTTTACAAACTTTAAATTACATTAAAGAATAACATAAATATCACAAATCATGATAATTTTGCTCAGTTTTAGTATAGAGCCCTGTAAGTTGATAAATATTATTTGTTTTCAGTGACTTTCATTGTTGTAAACAGATATAGGTAGAAAAAAACATCTACAAATACTATCGACAAGGAACTCATCAACCCTATTGAATTTTATTGTTTATCAAAAATACTAGTCACTAATCAGCTGGTGATCTTCAAGGTACCGCATGAGGTGGCAGTTTATAACGGATTCCATTATTTTGTAGTAGTTGGACGGGTCTGAGCGGTCGCCTTTTTTAGGGATCGGGTGTACAAAAGCTGTCTTCCGTGATTTCCGGCCTACGCCTAGGCAGTAGGAGTTCCGGAAAAGACGCGTTAAAACCGATGCCAACACCGGAGCACACGTCCTCAGCACAATTGGGGGGATTCTGTCAGGCCCACTCGACTTGTAGATGTCCAGGGAGAGGAGTGCTTTGCGGACCGATCGCTGTGAGAACCGCACGTCCGACATGGAGCACTCACACCGTGGGATGGTCGGCGGTGTGTTCCCCCCGTCATCAAGAGTCGAGTTGGACGCAAAAAGGGAGCCTAAAAGGTCGGCTTTCTTTTTCGCTGTGTGGGCCGGTGAGTCGTCCTCCCTATGCAGAGATGGTAGTTTTTTTTTATAGAATAGGGATGACAAACGAGCACACAGTCCACCTGATGGTAAGTGGTTGCTGCGGCCCATAGACATCTACATCTATCTTCGTTTGCGAATTAAAATGTAGATGCGTTGTCAGCCATGAGGACTAAGATAGAATGCCTCTTTTCCAGTAAATAGGGTCTCCGGTTCTCTACACTCACTATACGAAACACAGCAGCATTAAGCTGCTATTTTACGCTGGTATCCTGTGAGAGCGTGGTCCTTCCCCGGTGGAGCCGACCCATTCGTGCTACAACTATACTATTAATATAGCTGCAGCATGGCTCTACCACGTATACAGGCTTAGAGAAATGCCGTTGGACAGCCTTAGCGAGAGACCAGAATGCACGGGTTCCCGAAGGAAGTCGAACTAGTTTCTCGCAAATTCTGCCTATGTGCTCTGACTTTGCCTTGGCAATAACTCTTTTGAAGGACCTGGAGGCGAAGTTATACTCCTTTTTAAGCATGCTAGTGTTTACATCCCGAGCAGCCGAAGGCTCAGCCCAGGCCCGATAGCACTACTGCTTACTGCGTAATGAATTCTTACAGGAGCAACCAAACCAAGGCTGAGATCTGTCTCAGATCTCAGCCTTGGAAGAACTGACAACCGATGGGGAAAAAAGGTTTTCGAGTGGCAGCCTCGTACCGGTAGGCGAAATTTAGGGCGATGCCCCACTAGACGGAGTGACCACCTGGTAAGAAATGCAGGAAGTTGATGGATGCAGGTGGCTCAGGACCGTGCTTTGTTGCATTCCTTGGGGGAAGCCTATGTTCAGCAGTGGACTTAAGAGCTGTAATGATGGTGATAATGCCTTACTTCGTTTGTCTTTCCGGTTCATAATTTGCAATCTATTTATGAAGCACTTTTCTACAGAAACTTAACATACTTACGTATCTTCGATGCCAATGCAATAATAGAGTACCATGTAAAGGATCTGATGATGTATCCCCTCGTACGTTTGTACTTTTGCCAGTGTCAAGTAATAAGAAATTATCTGTTATGCTTCGGCCACACACATCGCAATGGAATTATCGCGATAAAACTTCGCCTTCGGCCTAGCGCTAAGGTGCCTGGCCACACTGAACGTTGTAAATTTTATCGCGCTAACCACACGCTAAACATGAGGCCACGGTCGCTCTTTATTATATGGCAGCGAATAATTATTTTTTATTATTGTGGCAATTTTTAAAAAATAAGAAAAATATATAAATAATATCGACTCGGACTCGTAATAACTTATAATGAAATGAAATTAAATAAAGATTTATTTGCTTTGAAAAACTTTTCAACTTTTTTAGCCATTTATTAATATAATAGCATGCAAATACATTTTAAATTATATTGAACATAATAAATTATCAATACTAGTACCAATACATACAAATTTAAATATAATTAAGATTAAAATTCAGTTAAAAATATAGAACTACTGTTGTGTCACATCATGTCAAATTTACGAGTAGGTAGTCACATTAGACAATGTTTATTTAGCTGCCTGTAAAGGGCGCCTTTAAATCTATTAAGGGGTAAGTCTTTAATATTTTGCGGTATTTTATTAAATATGACACAGTACATATCAGAAAATGCCATAAGAAAGTATGTCAAATTACATCCAGTAGCAGTTTTTTATTAATTCGAGCAGTCTTGGGTATAATTTCAGCAGCAGGTCTATTGCCATTTCTGGTATTGCGCGTGTAAATCTCTTTAGCTTGTCTGAAATAATACATGTTTTGTTTTACAAATTTTACAATTTCAAAATTGTACAGGCATGGGAGTTGTAGTATTTTCAGAGATATAAATAGCGGCTCATCAGGAGCAGTGCCACATATTGCTCTAATACATTTTTTTTTTTGGGCAGTGAATGCCTTTTTTGCATCTGTGCAATTACCCCATAATAAAATGAGTCCGTATCGCAGAACGGATTCCATATAAGCAAAGTATGCAGTAGGTGCTGTATTTTCGTGGCCACTTTGCTTAGTTTGTAAAGTGCGTACAAAAATATATATATATATATTTTTTAAAACATTTTCAACTTGACATTTCCTATGAATTTTGTCATATTTGTACTTTTTAAGCGTAGTGATTATATTCTCTTTGCTTTTTAGGTTTGTCCATCAAAATTAATGTTTTGTCTAGATTTATAAGTAGATTGTTATTTTTAAGCCATTCTATTATTGTTTTTACTGTACTGTTAATGTCATTAATATGGTTTTTTAGTGCTTGTTTACCATCTGTTTTCACTATTACAGCGAATAAAATCCATTTGTGTTTATTTATATCCGGAAGATTATTTATATAGACTAAGAACAACAGTGGTCCCAAAACGCTGCCGTATGTGGAACCCCATATTTGTTTTCTTTAAGATCTGATATGTAATCTAGGACCACATGATTGCAATCTGGTCTGCTTATTTCAACAGATTGCCGTCTACTTTGCGAGTAGGTTTTATTCCAACTTAAAGCAGTGCCTCTAATGCCACATTTTTCTAATTTTTTCAGTAGTAAATTGCGGATGTGTCAAAGTAAATTAGGGTTTGCGACGTATTTCCAAGGAAGTGACGAAGTATTCACGAAGGGCCGGCCGGTCACGTACATTGCGATAACGCGAATATTTGCGCTAGCGCGATGTTTGTAGTCGCGGCATTAACAACTGCTTCGCATTACGGCCGGTTCACACATGTCTCCGTTTTACTGTTCCGTTTTATCGTGTACGTTTTTTTTTCGTCGATGGCGTATGTAATTGTATAAGCGACTTCACACATGGCACAGTATTCTTTATACAGTAAAAAATATCGTTCCGTAAAAAAAAAATGACATTCCGTTTTGTCATCGAATACTGGACGACGGAACAGTAAAAATATACGGATACGTAGAATTTTAATTTTATTGTGCGTGGCGTGTGGTGTGTGCGGGGTGTAGGAGGAGGAGTGATGCGACAGGTTTTGTTTGACTCACATTTTCTATTGTACATTCCTAGAGAACGCGCGCGTGCATTGTGTGTAATACTTATTATAATCACTGATCAACCATGTCAACCAAGTAGTGGGAGAAGTTACTAGACAAGGAAATGATAATTAGTTTGGTGGAAGATAGGCCAGTCCTTTGGGACAAGACGCTGGATAAATACAAAGACAATACTGCAAGTATTGCAGGTTGGCGCGAAATATGCATTATTTTAATGGAGGATTTTGAGACTATGGAACAAAGACAAAGACAGGAGTTCGGTAAGTGTCTGTTTTATTATTTAATGACATTCTAAATAGCTTCATCCTGCCATGGAACTGATCCAGCTTCGGACATGAAATAGTTCACGAATTCTGTTCGAACTAAATTAGCAGTATTACCACCTCGTGTTCTTACTTCATGGGGTAGGTTTTCGTAACTAAATTCTTTAGATACGTTATTATCACTGTTTGAGCCCTCCTTGTCCTTTATAAAGTTGTGTAGAATAGTACATGCCTTAACAGTCCATACAGCTGTTGTTTTATCGATGTCTAGAGGCAGATGGAATATTCTCCAGTTATTAGCTAAGATACCGAAGGCACATTCAACGTATCTCCTAGCTCTAGTCAAACGATAGTTGAATATTCGCTTATTTTTGTCCAGATGCATTCCGCCAATCGACCTTAGTAAATTTTCTTGTAATCCGAAACCTTCGTCTCCAATTACCACATAAGGAACTCGCGTTTCTGAGTCTCTTGTCAATGGGCATGGTGCTGGTATTTGTAGTGTGCCGTTTAGCATCATTTTCCAAAATGTTGTCTCTTTGAATATTGATGAAGCGCATTCTATTCAATAAGATCCGACATTGACGTTATAGAAAGCGATAGTCGGAGTCTACGATCGCAAATAATATGATGGAAAAAAATCCTTGTAATTGATATACAGTGAACCGCTATTTAGTGGTTTTTTAAGTCGGATATGTTTTCCGTCGACAGCATCAAGACAGCGGGGAAAATTAGCTTTTTTTGTTAAATCCACTTGCTATCTGTTCCCATTCGTCGACTGATATAGGAAGTCGCATAAATTTTTCACTTAAATTGTTCCATATGCATTTTGAAACTTCTTTAATAATGTTGCTAACAGTCGATACACCAACGCGATAGGTGTAATGAAGATCTTTAAATGAACACCCGGATGCTGCATACCTGAAAATAAAATTAAATGTTTTATTACTTGTTTTAGGAAAACTTGTTATGAAAAAGTGGAGACAGATGAAAGATACCTGGGTGAGAAAACTAAAAGATAAAAAGAATTGCAAGACGTCTGGTTCCGCTGTCTCGAACACGAAGCCCTACAAATAGCATAATCAGATGCTGTTTTTGAAAAAAGTAGTTGCTGCTGGTGAAACGCATGAAAGCGTCTCTGCTAAACAAACTAAAGAACACACCGAAGATGACACCACGACATCGAATGAACCTACAAACGAAGATGACAGTGTAACTACAATGACACAACTTGACAATGACAGTCAAAAGGACAAACAAAATCTAGCCCTCCCGCCAAAACGCAGAGCACCAGCCAAAAGAAATTTTAATGAAATTGATGCCAAAATGATGTCCTACATTGACTATCAGATAAAACCGAAGAAAATTGAGCAGGATGGTCGCAATTTATCGTTCTTTAAAGGTATTTTGCCGTCCTTGGCTTTGCTTGATGATGACTAAACTTTTGAATTCTAGTCAGGGGTGTTAAACCTATTACAAAATATTAAACTTAGGAGAGTTGGCCAGTCAACTTATGACTTGTCAGCCTATACACAAACATCTGGTGCTAGTCACTATCAATCCCAGAGCTATTTTATCAGACCACAGCCTACTGATAGTGCACTATCGCCAGTACAACCTGTATACAGTGATGCTAGCAGACCACAGTCTACTGATAGTGCACTATCGCCATTACAATCTGTATACAGTGATGCTACGTTAGATCTGTCTGAGTTTTAAAAATAAAAGTACGTACCTTAAAAATATCGCTAGTTTTTCTTCTGGGCAGATACTTTTCCTCCAACGAGTATCTTGCTTTTTTCAATCCTTTTCCAATAGTTTAAGAAGTTCATCAAAAGTAGACATTGACATACGAAAGTAATTGAAAAATTTCGATTCATCACCTCGTAACTGACTCATAAGTAAACTGTAAGCACCCTCTCTAGATCTTTGGGCCATAAGTGGATGCTGCCAATAACGTCGAATCTTCCTTCTCCGACGATAGTACCAATACAACACGACAGCGTCCATCCTTGTAGAATAGCGGCGCTATACTGCGAGTTTTCTGTTCACACATCGCATCTAGTAATGATGGAGCCGTTGAACGTTATACGGTGCCTATGTGTGAACAGAGCGTAAATATATGACGTATCCGTTATAAACGTACCAGTAAAACGGACTCCCATGTGTGTACGGGCCCTTAGGTTGACGCACATTGGTTGATGCGTCACATTGCGAAGTTTTTATTCGATGACGATAGGGTCTCACTTCTCAAAACTTAAGGCGCCACAACAGCTTAAAATACTTTAGTTTTATATCGCCATCGGAATATTTGTTCTATTGTTTCCACTTATGAATAGTTCACATATTATATAACCAGTTATTAAACCAGCATCAATCGGTGCTCAGTCAAATTCCTGGTCTGCTTTCCTGGCAAAAATATAAATGCCGGTACCACCTATATTATTGTCGCCCATGTGTATGTAATTTACGTTCAATCCTTCTATTCTACACATTCGTCAAAAATTGTTCGAAGCCAAAATCGTTGGACCTCAAGGGTCAAATTCAAGCCGTATTTATTGCAAGCTTTTGAAGTTACACCAACATATTTACATCTATCGTTAAAATCCATACCACGCAAGTAATTGAGGGTTACAGGGCGGCAATTCTCAGTATAAAATAGTCGAGCGGCATTATGTCGCACGAACTTGGTTGCTAGTTGATTTTGTAAAAAAACGAGATGGCGAAGTCCTTTAACTTCTCAACTAATACATTCAATGTTTCTCGTGCAGTATGGCAAGTGGCGCCATCCTTTTGAAACCACATGTTTGTGAGAGCTATATCACCCATATAAGGCCATAAAATGTTTTATATCATAGTCTGACATCGTTTTTCATTGATAGCGAGCGAGGTTCTCGACGCCTTGGCCCATAGATATTCGTCATTCCAATTCCATCGATTTTGCTTGTTTACAAGGCTACTCAATCAGAAATGAGCCGCATTACAAGAGATGATTTTCTTCCGAAATGGATCAGCCACCGAATGTTCTAAAAAGCCCAATCAGGGAACACACGACGCTGTCCTGTGGCCATTGGGCCTTAGTTCTTGAGTTAATGGAACTTTGTATTTTTTTTATAGGATAAGTGTGACAAACGAGCACACAGTCTACCTGACGGTAAGCGGTTGCTATGGCCCATAGACATCTACATTTATCCTAGATTACGAATCAAAATGCAGATGCGTTGTCACCCGTGAGGTCTAAGATGGAATGCCTCGTTTCCAGTAAAAAGGGTCTCCGGTTCTCTACACTCACCATACGAAACACAGCAGCATCAAGCTGCTATTTTACGCTGGTATTCTGTGAGAGCATGGTCCTTCCCCGGTCGAGCCGACCCATTCATGCTACAACTATACCTGAAATATAGCTGCATCATCGGCTCTACCACGTATAATATTGTATGGATGAAGGCCCAGGTCTCGACTCATAATTCGAAGCTGGTGTAGCAGAAATACTAAAATCTTGCGCACGACGCAGAATGGCCTCGAGTTCTCTTTCACACTGCAGCATTCCGAACTGCAGCAACTTTCTCCAAAGATCTTGCATTTCTTTTACTTACAGGCGCTGCAACTTATGATTGAAACGATGCAATGAAGACCATAATTTGGTCGTAGTATGCGTAGTGTTGGGCAAACAGAACACTGGTTTTGATAGTAAATTTTACCTATAGACGCGTTTCTATGTCGAGGAGCGTGCATAGAGCAATATAGGTCACCGGCGCTCCTGTCCGCCGATCCGTGTTGCTCTATGGCAGCGTGTCAACCGTATATTCATTACACAAAGTTGCATTTTTTACAAAATTTGAAAAAATTAAGCAATTAATACACCTAATAAGTACAATTAGTCAGCCTCGAGCACAGGCGCAGAGTAGCCAGTCTCTCGGTATTCTATAGGACGCATTTCGGTGAGTGTGCGCTGAAATTATACGCTTTAATTTCTCCCTCTGCTTTCCACCATCGAACAACCAGGCAGTCGGCGGGTCTTCATCTCTTTGTTGTCGATATTCCACGCATTAGAACCAAACGGTTTGCTTCGTCTTTTGTAATGCGTACAGCAAAGGAGTGGTATAATTTGCCGGCGTCTATTTTCAGACCGAATCCGAATCAATCCGAATCAATCAAGGCATCTTCAAGAGAAGAGTGAATATGCTTTTGTTACGCTAAGACAGTGCGATTTAATATCCAAAGCCATCACCACTTACTACCAGCTGAGATTTGGTCAAGCACTGGATTATAATAAGTTAAAAAAAGCCACCACCGGGCCTAGTTAAAAGATGGAAAGTAAAATATAAATATTACTAAATTAAATAATGAAGGCATTAGTGAAACGACTGACAAAAAATGTGACGACAAATTAATAATAGATAATACAAGAAGAGGCCACAATAGTTATATTATAGAAGCTGTCCGAAAATTAAAAAAAATGTATATTACTATGAAGACAACAAACGAAGACTGAGGAAAATGAATTGTGGATTTTTTTTATATAATGAGAAAAGATCAAAATTCAAGAAACGGCAGGGGTGTTGTGTAGCCCCCACGATAGTATATATTAGTGTTAAAGTAGAATAAGTTAAGGCAGTATAATTAAAGATCTAGAACAAGCAACAGGTCTCCTTTTCATTAACTCCTTTCGACATTTCATACAATGGTAACATTCATTGCTATGCAGACGACAGCACTGGTGATGCCTTATATAACGGCCGTGCAAATATTTCTCGGGAAAACGTCGCCGAGTACCGGGACAAACTTGTGTCTGAAGTCGAGTCTTTGCTGAATAAAGTCACGGATTGGAGGCGACTAAATCTAGTCCTTTGCGCCCTAAAAAGAACCCCTTTGTCGTATTTCCTCAGTATCAAGCCTATCAATGCTGGTGTTTCACAAGGCTACGTGCTATCACCATCGCTGTTTCTCCTGCATATCAATAATATGTTACAAACTAGTGGCATTCATTGCTATGCAGACGACAGCACTGGTGATGCCTTATATACCGGCCATGCCAATATTTCTCGGGAAAATGTCGCCGAGTACCGGGACAAACTTGTGTCTGAAGTAGAGTCTTCTACTACGACGGCGGCGACTAAATCTAGTCCAGTTCAATCTCCAGAAGACACAAGTTTGCGCGTTTACCGTTCAAAAGAACCCCTTTGTCGTATCTCCTCAGTTTCCAAGGCAGCTGCCCTTGCTGCCTCAGCTAGCATCGGAATCCTCGGCGTCGACATATCGGATAGTGTGCAGTTTCGTGGTCACTTGGAAGGGAAGGCCAAATTGGCCTCTAAAAAGCTTGGCGTGCTCAGCAGAGCGAGACAGTATTTCATGCCGGCACATCGCTTGCAACTTTACAAAGCGCAAGTTCGGCCTCACATGGAATACTGTTCTCAACTCTGGGCCGGGGCACCCCAGTGCCAGCTCCTTCCACTTGACCGCATCCAGCGCAGAGCGGTTCGAATCGTCGACAACCGAGTTCTTTCTGATCGACTCGATACACTCGCACTGCGTAGGGATGTTGCATCCCTTTGCATTTTCTATCGAATTTACCACGGGGACTGCTCTGAGGCATTGTCGGATTGATTCCAGCCGCCAAATTTCACGAACGCACATTGCGTCAAAATTTACGATACCATCCTCACCATCTGGATGTTTGGCGGTCCACGACTGTGCGTTTTACCAGGAGTTTTCTTCCTCGTAAAACTTCTCTGTGGAATTGTTTCCCACCGGCGATTTTTCCGGACCGATACGACTTAGGAACCTTCAAGAAAAGAGCTTACACCTTTTTAAAAGACCGGCAACGCATCTGCAATTCCCCTGGTTCCCCTGGTGTTAGTAGGTAATTAAAATAAAAGCCATCACTATTATCTATTGCACGCCACATAACGGGAAGCGTTATTAGGTATTGTAGTACTCTCGACACGTCAAGGTCAAGCAATTTTATGGTCTTAAAATACCTCTATCATAACCATATTGCACTTATACGATAGTATGAGTAGCCGTAGATCAAGAAAACACTAATTAACCCATATTATATTTTCTAAAAAATATTT